AAGAGAGAGAGAGAGAGAGAGAAGAGAGAGAGAGAAAAGAGAGAGAGAGACCAGGGACTGGACAGCCATGAACCAGCCGTTAGCTGGGGAGGGGAAAAGGAAACAAGTGGTGGATTGAAATTGTGTATACAAATGTTCAGACTATGCATGATGTACAAAATGACTAATAAACTGGTGGACGTACCAACTACTAAGTACCTAATGATAGCCCAGAGGAGAACAAGAAACAGCCATGCCTTCAAGTACCAGAGTTATCAACCAAGGATTGAGGTGTTCAAGAATTCATTCTTTGTCATTAGATAGCTTTAACATTTTTTAGAGTTAGATGTTCAAGGGTTAGGTATAACGTAGCGGCAGCTAGCTGTAATGGAGCTAGCTGCCGCCGCGCCGAGTGCCTGCGAAGCTGGTGTGTTACGCTGAAAGGCGGTTATACCGGCTATACAGATACAGATAGGTAATAAGTTGTGCTACCTTTCTTGGTGGTCTGATCACTGCTGGGCAGTGTGTTCTGCACGTTTCGGGACCAGCCCTTGAGCCGATCCCACTCCAGATCATCCTCCTGTGCCTGTACATAGCCGCACACATCACGCTCGAAGTCACAGTCAGCAGAGTCACCGGCTGCAAGGTTACATACATAATCATACTCAGAGAGTTGAAGCATTAGCATAGTTCAGCTTCCAGCACTTTCTATCGTACATCATTTCTACAAGTTCGTTTCCATACAGACCAGTGTCTAACTCATTAATGTCCTTTAGTGTAGAGTAATTGGACGGCCTCTTCTCCTTTTCGCTTTCGGAGACCAGAGAAGCAGTTTTCCATTTTAGAATGTATTCTATATTCTAATGAAAGATCATATCAAAGAGAAAACGTGCACCAAACATTCAAACTAATAAACTGACAAACAAACCTTTTCAAACTGCTCTTATTATTTTTGTGGAGTCCTCTGGAATTTCGATGAGATTCTTCAGCTCAAAAACAAACACCAAAACAAAGAAACAAACCTTTTCCTGGGAACTGCTCTATCTTTGTGGAGTCCTCAGGAATTTGGATGAGATTCTCCAGTTCCGCCCTGCAGCCCTGATAGTTCGGTCCTGCTGCTGATGTGATGCCGTCCATACAACAGCCGTAGAACGAGTCCTTACAACTCTCTGTACACACAAAAACAAAACACGGGCATAACTAACCCGTAATCATAATTATAATCCCTAGAACCCTGGTTGTTCAGTCCTGCTGCAGATGTGATTCCGTCCATACAACAGCCGTAGAACGAGTCCTTACAACTTTCTGTAGGCACAACGAGAACAATGAGAAGTTAACATGCATCAGAGACATGACCCTAACCCTAGATAGTCTCCACCAGACTCCTTTTCAGGCTGATCAATAAATAGTACTGTAGAATCAGCCTTGATTCACTCACAACAAGTGCTTCCTATCCAATGCTCAAAAATTCATGTGAATAAAATAAAAAATAAAATAAAATGAAATAAAATAAAATAAAATAAAATAACAAATGTTCAAACCTGACCTTCACACGACCCCCCGGCGATGCTGATGTCATCCAGCGCGATGCTGCCCTTGAACTCTGACCTCACCTCCGCCTCAAATATAATCTGTCAAGGTCAAGAATAGGAACAATTAAGAGATATTCTCATGTATTTCATGTATATATATTATGTATGTTATGTAATTTTATGTGTTTTTTAATGTATTGATGTAAACACCAATGTCATTCAGGCAACACTATTAATAGTTCTATATACTGTATGTCTGCAATGTTGGTATAATAATAAAGAAATGAAACGAAATTATCTGCCTTCACATAAGGAAAATATGTTGTTTTGCTCTGCCTCTTCTTCTTCCATTCCAAACAATTAAGTGAGGTTAAAGACCTAGGTCAAAGACATAAACCAGACGGCTGTGACCATGGTAACAAACAAACAAACAAACAAACAAACAAACCTGGAAGTCCCGTGGTGTGTTGATGTTGATCTGAGCTTTAGTCTACAGGTCTCCATCTTTGATACTCCACAAACAAACAAACAAACAAACAAACAAACAAACAAACAAACCTGGAAGTCCCGTGGTGTGTTGATGTTGATCTGAGCTTTGGTCCACAGGTCTCCATCTTTGATGCTCCACAAACAAACAAACAAACAAACAAACAAACCTGGAAGTCCCTTGGTGTGTTGATGTTGATTTGAGCTTTGGTCCACAGGTCTCCATCTTTGATACTCCACAAACAAACAAACAAACAAACAAACAAACCTGGAAGTCCCGTGGTGTGTTGATGTTGATTTGTGCTTTAGTCCACAGGTCTCCATCTTTGATGCTCCAGAGCGCATCTCCCAGCTGATCGCCGGACATGACGTACACGTTCAACTTGTTCATGGTTGCCGGGAAGTTGTAGGCCATGTAGGACGCGTAGTACCTGCATGTGGCGAGTCACAATATGCTAATGACTACTATGCAAATGAGTATCATATATAGATAGCAATTATGATTATTATTATCATAAATTAGCAGTAAAGCTGTTTAAATATAAAACTTTTGGTCCACCACAAAAAGTTCTCTCACCTAGAGCTTTCGACCAGTCACTCTGGTCTTCCTCAGTAGACTGACCCAGTGAGGCTTGTCACGTGGCTTCTTTGAGGTGTGACGTCAACACTGGGTTAAGGTATCTGGTAGACAATGGTGACTTGTCGAAAGCTCTAGGTGAGAGAACTTTTTTGTGTTGGACCAAAAGTTTTAACTCTAAACAAATCATAATTGCTGTACAGCAATCCATTGACAACCCTGTGGCTAATGGACACTCCTGTGGTCAATGGATACTGCCTTTGCCACCGTATGATCTGCTTGCAGATAATTTAACCCTGTAAAGTTTCTGTACCTGTGGTAGAAGGTGAGGCAGTGTCGTCCCGCGCGAAGCATGCCGGTCTCCAGCCGCGCCGACCGCTCACCCACGATAGGCATGATGGGAGATCGCACCGCCAGGAAGTAGCCCTCACCTAAAGGAACAGGAACACAAAGTTGTTAATTTTTTTAATCTAGGCCACAGCAATTAATTCTTATGGATGACATCAGTGCTTGCATTAATTTTCGCCTGATTTTGGAGGAAAAAATTTTTGTTGCCTTCTGACAGTGGTCAACATGCCGAAAATGGGCTAAGATGTCTGTTGCTCTGCCGACCCTCTTCAGATGATTTTTGATCATTCCCTTCCCTTCAGCAGGAGTGATGTCAGCTGCAGGGGTCAATGTACTCCGCTAGGGGTCGCTGCCCTCCGGTGACCGATAGTAACCCCTGGTCTTAAAGGCCCTACCCTAAAGCACGTTAAAAAGAAGATAAGACACAAACCTTTGCTTGGAGAGTATGTGGGACAAAACGCTCTTCCTTTTCATCCTAGGCCCAGTGTCAGTAGTCTCTACCAGACTAACTACGCTGGCTATATATAGGAGAATATTTGCCAAGGGAGTTTGGCCGCCTTGTAGGTTTGACTTCGGAGGGAAAGAAACTACCACCCCGCGGCCGGACTCCCTTGGCCAATTTTACTCTCTTTTTTTGCCGAATTCTACGATCCGTATTCCCGTAGAAAGGCCTGGTGGAGGCTACAGTGTCAGTGCAAAACGGGTCACTGTGACCTCTGTGCAAACATTCGGTATTAGAAACACATGGAGACAAAGTTTTTGTAAAAGAAACTTTGAAAGTGACGAATGAAGCTAGCTTTGGGTCACCTGGAGGTCAGCTCCCGCCATTGACGTGTGAACCAGCTGAGAACAATCGGGGGTTGTTTCTCCGATGTGTATACTGGAGCTACTGTCTACGTCAAAATAAGTCTACTGTCAGCCTGTCTAAGACCAGACCCGCTTTCTAACCAGGGGTTAGCCTCTACCAGGCTTCGGGAGGCGGCTGGAAAGAGTAGAAATTGGCCAAATAGAGAGATAAGCTTGCCAGGAGAGTTGGTCTGCTGGAGAAATTCGAGAGCGACAAACTGACTCTCCAGCAGACCGACTCCCCAGACATGTTATCTCTCTATTTGGCCAATTTCTACTCTTTCCAGCCGCCTCCCGAAGCCTGGTAGAGGCTACCAGGCTAGTGCTTTCTCACCAGGGGTCACTGACCCTTTGTCCTTCCCGCCCACGCCAAGGTGACTGTCTTAAGACGTTCCCACGGGAGGCGTGAGACAACGGCCTCCTTTAAGGGGCGGACAGATGTTCTTAAGTAAAGTCTACCAGCTGGCGTGTCACCGTTCCGCGCGTGTTGAGACACACCAGGCTTCAGAAGCGGCTGGAAAGAGAAGAAATTGGCCAAATAGACAGATAACATGCCGGGGGAGTTGGTACGCTAAGGAGTATATATGCCGCAAATAATCTTTTTTTCCTAGCATGTTATCTACTGTATTTCTGCTCTCTCCAGCCGCTTCCAACGCCAAGTATATGGTTTAAATCTGTCTGTGGTACCGGATACTCCGCCGAGGTCCGGTCATACCGGTGACTCCAGCATGTAACCAGGTTTACCAGATGCGCACATGTTGGGGATGTTGAATCGTTGTGACAGACCTTTTGATTACTTTAGCCTCTACCAGGCTTCGGGAGGTGGCTGGAAAGCGTAGAAATTGGTCAAACAGAGAGATAACATGCCGGGGGAGTTATTCTGGTAGAGAGAACAGTTTGCCCGCACCCGAAGCGAACTGTACTCTTCGAGCGGACCAACTCCCCCGGCATGTTATCTCTCTGTTTGGCCATTTCTACTCTTTCCAGCCGCCTCCCGAAGCCTGGTAGAGGCTACAAGGTCCGTTCATACCGGCCAAGTTCGAAACGACTTGCCGTTTTGTTTGCGCAACTGCTTTTTGCAGTATCTTATTACCTGGGTATCTAACCTTCACCGATGACTTGTCGCCAAGTTTGACGCCGACCTGTAACCACGTTTACCATCTGCGCACAGTTGGGAATGTTTAGAAAGCCGCCCGCGGGCAGAGTTATGTCGGGAAAACGGCCAAACCTGCCGGGTTCGGAGACGATCATTGGCCTACTTTCCCAAGGACAGAGGGTCTGCATGGGGAGATGTGGCAACCCTTAACGGTAAATTGACTCAACTGTTCTCAAACTGTGATCTTGAATAGAGAGTCTTGTAGGGTAGAATTGTCTATATCGAGCCGAATAGATTGGCTTTGATCCGGCCTGGAACCGGATTGGCTTTGATCCGGCTTGGCTTGGAACCGGATTGGCTTTGATCCGGCTTGGAACCGGCTTGGCTTTGATCCGGCTTGGAACCGGCTTGGCTTTGATCCGGCTTGGAACCGGATTGAAGCCGAGTCAAAGTCATGGTGGGAAAAGGTAACACTCAGGTAACTCACCTGTTCCCAGACTATGGTCCTGTTTGGGTAGAGTTTTGTAGTATCTGTCGTTGCCCTTGCGTCTCTCCCAGTCCCACGAGTCATCCTGTGCCTGCTTCAGCGAGCACAAGCCCTGCTCGAACGTGCAGTCAGCCTTACCTAATAAACAAACAAGCAAACAAATAATAAAAAAAAACAGAAGTTCCTACTAATGTATTATATAGCCAGTAGCTATAGGCCATGGTCTATATTACATCTGAGGTATCCATGTCGCTGTACAATGTGCCAGAAGTTCCTATCTTGTATTATGTAGCCGGTAGCTACAGGCCAGGGTCTATGTTACATCTGAGATATGTCTGTACAAGGTGCCAGAAGTTCCTACTATATATTCTATAGCCAGTAGCTATAGGCCAGGGCCAATATTACATCTGAGATATTTCTGTACAAGGAGCCAGAACATTATACAGCCGGTAGCTACAGGCCAGGGTCAGGCAGCCACAATTACCCCCACAAAATGCACCCCAGCTGTGGGAACGAGTTGCATTGACCTGTCTAACCTCGTTCCCGACGTTCTTGGCCACCGGTCTTGGCAACCACGTCTGTTTGGGCGGCGGGCCAGGAGGGCCGGATTGAATTTTGTGTGACGCAACCACGACTGCCCCATGAATGTCCTGTTGTAAAGCTTTTTAATCTATACTACAGCGAATATATCGCTCTACCAGCCGACGTTATACTGCGTCAAGCCAGATCGCTGCTGCCTGTGGATTTGACTTGTCTACGACATAATGACTGGAACAGTGACAAACTGGCGGGAAACAGTTTTTCCAACGTTGATCCCTGAAAGATGCCAAAGTAGACTGGATGCCAGACTGTACTCAGGGTCAGTAAACAGGCCATCTCCTTGGCCCTTGAGCCGAGGAGCTAGGCCCTGGGAACAGCCTGGCACCCAGACTATACTAAATTGGCATAGGAACATTTTACTACGGTTGATCCCCGCACACTGCCAAACTGACACGTCGTCTTCAGTTTCCTTTAAGACAAATATTCCCCTGTTCTCCTCCAGACATTGTCATGTCTTTAAGGTGACACCTGATACCCTTACTTCCCGTCTTAAGGTGCCCTTAACACCTCCAGCCAGCAGGAGACTTGAACGAGACCCAGTAAATTATTTTTTCTTATTTTAGGACCTTCGTGCGAGGGGTTTCATGTCCACAGTGATCAGACAGTTTTGTCTTCAGTGTTACCCGAAACCAGTATTATCCGGCGCTTTGACTTAGGCCCAATTTAAAGCTGATAAATCTGTTGTCTTAGCTTATCTTATCTTGGGCCTAGGTGGGAGTGATACTACTTAAGTAACCTAACAGGCCTGCATCGTCAGATGTTGGTTTAACCCAGATGGATTCACCTTGGTGGAGTCTTTCTTAAATCCTTTGGGCTCGTTTCTTTGTCATTCGTTTCACTCACTCACTCACTCACTCACTCTTTCCCATACTTAGTCAGCCATCGGGGCAGCATGATGTTTCGTCATTCGTTTACCCTTTCGAATTACCTTTATTTTTCCATTTTCTTTTATCCTTCGAAATGTATGATGTAATTATATACTAACCAATATATTTGGGATATATTTCTTTTTTTTTTTTACATATTTTTGACGTGGACTTTTCTGACTATTCCCTGAAAGTTCTGCTCTTTGAGTAACCTACCAGACTCTAACATGACCAGATGGACTTATTCAACTTCGTATCGTCTTTCTTTTTCTCCATTGTTTTGTCTCTTATTCCTTTCTTCCATACCACTTCACTTCTATCGTTCTACATACATGATTAAACAAACCGAGCAATTATAATTATAATGTTAAATGTTGAAGAAGATAATAGTTCACTGATAAATGTCCATATCTTTAGTTTTTATGTTTGTCTAAAACTTCTGTAAGTTGAAAAGATGTGAC